GTGGGACTCTTTAGACCTGGCAGAGATTTGCCTTGTAAGTGCTTGTGTGAGAATGATATTTAGTCCTCAGCACCTTCTATTAACAGGATTGCAAACTGGCATCTCAGGACTGAATCTGAGATACCCCCAGAAATATTTTCTGTGGTCAAAACTGGTAATAAAGCCAAAAGTCGTTGTCAGATTGTGCAAGGAGACAAAACTAGTCTCCCAAGTCTGGTGTGGGTGTTTCCTCTTTGGTGACATCCCAGTGACCTTCTCTTACTCTCACTCTGTTTACTCTTGACATGAAATGACTTCCTTCAAAGTTAGAGAAAACACTGTCCCAGTCAAAACACAGCTGGTTCATTTGTCCCAGAAGAAAGTGGTGAAGCAAGCTGTGTGCCTAAATTGCTCCCCGATCCTTCATAGCGCCTCCTGCTGGCAGCCGACAAACCCCAGGACCCACCATCGCCTTTCATTCATTAACCTTTTTCTTTCTTTTTGGCTTTGAAATACAAGGTTCCAGCAGCTTCACAATAGTAAAAGCCATCTTAGCAGAAAAAAACGGTCCATTTTTCTGTTGCTCCTGCTTTTCTGGTTAAAAGAACATGAAGCAACTTCAGGATGTTAGAAAAGTCTTAAGGTGAGGGAAACCTGCCTAATCAGTTTTATTTGGGTAAAACATCTGGTGACTGTGTGAACTACTCTCAAAGAGGGACCTACTGTCCTCCCAGGGCTGTTAAACAGCACAAAAGCCCTGCCACTGGCTTGAAGCAAAGGTTTCCTATTTTAAAAGATAAGGCAACCCTGTTGGGACAGCAGAGATTTTACCTCTCTGCTTTTCCCATAGAAATTGCAAAATTTGTATGGAGGTCACTGGGACTGAGTCTGCAACCCAGATTAGAACTGCTTCCCAGTTTCCTTTCTTAGGCTGGGGGCTTTGGGACAGATCAGCAAAGGTACTCAGGCTTGTGGAGAGCTGTTGGATGTTGTGTCCTGTGTGTCCGAGGGAAACCCTTCAGAGGTGAGGCAAACTAGGGAGAAATTTGGTGTTGACATTAGAGCTGAAATTTCATTTTCTTTCACCTGAATGCAGAAAAGTGAGCAGAAAAAGCTTTTGTCAGATAATTTTCATTTTAACTATTCATGCAGTTATCCTGAATTTTGAGCATTTTTCACTCTCAGCATGACTTTCTGTCTTTCCATTTCAGCTGTGCTCTGGAAGTAAAATGAAAGTCCTGCATGGAGAATAGAGGATTCTCTCTGTACATCACAAGCCAGGTGAGTTTAGCTCTGGAGGGAACAGCTAGAGGTGACTTGCTACTCTGCAAGGCTTCCAGGAGTTACAGGGAATTTTAAATTCCCAGTTGTCTTAAGGGAGCCCATAATATAAAAGAAGAAACAAATAATATATTCCCCAAACACAAGTCACACATTTACAGTGAAAAGAGAAGGGCTAATAGAAGTATGTTCCTCAGCAGGGCAGGCTACATAATATGTGGGGCTTGATACAAAAGGAAAATGCAGGGCCTCTTGGTCAAAAGCAGGAAAAAGGTGCTTTTAAAGGTACACATAAAGCCAGATACAAAAAGACAAATATTGTATGTTATGAGGCATCTGGAGTAGTCAAATTCATAACAGACAGAAAGTAGGATGGTGGTTGCCAGGGGCTGAGGGGGAAGGGGAAAGCGGAGTTTAGGATGTTGAAAAAGTTCTGGAAATGGATAATTGTGCTGGCTGCACAATATGAATGTACTTAATGCCACTTTACTCCCCTCTCAAAAAATTGTTAAAATGGTAAAACATATTTTACTACACACACAATTCAAATTTTATGGCTCATCCCAGGAGGCTACCTTGAGCTGGCTAAAAGAGACAAACAGGAAAGTTAGAAGGAGGAAGAGAGACCCAAGGCACAGATCCTGTGAGAGAGTCCTCCAGGGCATGGGACCTCACAGGTGTCTGAGGGCAGGTATTCTCTTGGGCCAGATAGATGCCAGGTTTCACTTCCTGCCAGGGGTCTCCCCTTCCCACAGGCCTGTCACCTCAGCCCACAGCAAACAGGCTGCCCCAAGTATCTATAAAACTCAGAGCTGGGACACACTCAGTAGAGGATGGGCAAGAAGCTTACCCCTGTCAAGACTTGGCTAAGGCTGGCCAGTGCTCCTGGCCTGTGGTGGGGATGGCCTTCACCATGCCCCACTCCACAGGGACCATGCACTGGACAAGGACCCTTCTTGCATTGGCACCAGTTTCCTGCCAAGGGCAGAGGGTGACAGCAGTTGCACGGTGAGGGCAAGAAGGGGGAGGCCACATGAGGGAGTGGCGGCAAGAACACTTCCAGGGAGGCAGCAGGAAATGAGACTGTGTATAAGCCCAGGCTCCAAGCCCCCAGAGCGTCCTTCATTACTGCATGGGATTTCAGTTACGAAACACAAGTTCAAAGGTAAATTCATTAAGAATTCCAAAACCACAACTATAGTGCGTTAAACTGCAAGTGCAGGGCACTTCTGAGTGTAGGGTCTTGTTCAAACTGTACTAGTTACATGCCCATGAAGCCAGAAAAAGAAAAGAAGGTATTTGGATGGAGTATCCTTTGAAAGATCCCGTCATCTGCAAAGGAAACCTAAGTATAAAAAGTGCTTACAGTGGAGTGGGCTGAGGCAGCTTTTCTCCATCTCCCACATATTCCCTTTCCTTCCTTGGCAATAGACTTCAGCTCTTTCCTCTGCCTTTTCACCTCCCACTCCCCATTCACTGTTGGGGTCTTCCAAGAATCAACTGACCTGCAATCTTATCTGAGCCAGGAAATATTGTACCATAAGTTCCTTGGTTTGATAAATGGAATCTTGTCAATTTCAGTGCTGAGTGCACTTTCCCAGGTTGCTTACCTAGCCCCAGGCTGCCATACAGGAGGGCAGGCAGCATGTGAGATTGTCAAAAACTAGTTTGCACCAGAAGGCCGGGTAGGTGGGCATGGGAGCTAGTAGAGATCTGGCCCTCTGGGCAGCTGCCACCCGTAAAGGATTAAGAAAGCCAAATCCTTCCCTTACTCTATTTCCTAAGTTCTTAAAAGGAGTGCAGATTAGCAGGGAATTCACTTTTTCTTTGTAGTGACCCCAAGTTGTGTCTAGGGTATGGCAGGGTGTTTTTCTTGGACTGAAAGGTTTACCTTGAGCATTGTCTAGATCATATTGCAGAAAGTTATGCTCCAACTGGCTCCATTTGCTAAAGTGTACTCCTGTTCCATCAAATGCCTTTTTGGGATTTTTCAACTTTGGAGGACTCCTTTCTGCATCCTGCACTGTGAAGTGACCCCCCACCCCCACCCCATTGGTCAGAGTCTTCCCTTGGGGGAAATACACCACCTTGCTAGGCTGCTGAGGTCCTATTCCCAGGAAGGCAGGTCAAGGACAACCAGCAGTACCCCTGTGCCCTTTTCTCAGGGTGCCAGTAGGAAAGCATTGTCTTTTGAGCTTAATCAGACTCACTGGAACAGTCCGGCTCATCCCAATCCAACTGGCAAAGGGGATGGAGGTAGGTAGAAATGACCTGGAATCTGAGCAAAGATGGATGGATGTAAGGGGCCAAAGGAGACTGGCAGCTTGGGTTTTGGGAAGCATCAGCAGTCAGGACCGGCACCGGAAGACTGGAGAACCACCCTGTGATTTTTCAGATTCTGGTCTTCTATCCCACCATGCCAGCCCTTTCTGAGCCTCAGCGGACCTCAGGTGAGGGTTCTGCATGTTTAAATGTCTCTGTCAAGAATGAAGGGACCGGCCCGGTGGCGCACTGCTACAGTGCGCCGCTTGGGAGCGTGGTGGCGCTCCTGCCGAGGGTTCGGATCCCACATACAGACCAGCCGCTCACTGGCTGAGCGAGGTGTGGGAGCAACGCCGAGGGTTGCGATCCCGTTGCCGGTCCCGGTCCGGTGCGGGCGCGACACTGAGGGTTGTGATCCGTTGCCGGTCACGAAAAAAGACAAAAAGGAAAAAAAAAAAAAAAAGAATGAAGATATGTGGGTGACTAGGACCTTTTCTAATGTTATCCATCTATAAAGGGCTTTGAAGGAAAGCAACCAATCCCCTCCCCAACCCATTTCAAGTGACTACATTATGACGCTTTTTAAGAGTTCAAAGAACTTGATCAAAGATAACATTTACATTAAATAAAACAGCACATTTTTCCTTTGTACTGTAAAGGCTGAAGTGAAAAACAGCCACATTTTAGCTCTCTGTCAAACAAAGCTCAGTGAACAGTGCAGGAGTGGTTGCTGCAGAACAGGCCTTCATCTTGATTTTTTTTTTTTTTTTTGGTGGACTCTATGCTGAATTTCGAACGTTAGAAAATGGATTTTCAAGTGCTCAGGTCATTAGGCAATCAGAAATTGTCAAAGGTCATCTTGATAATCTCTGCTACAAATGATCACTTGAGGCAGCTGTGGTATAGTGAAAAACACACTGGACTTGGAGTCAGCAAGTCTAGGTTCTCAAGGCTTTGCCCTGCCTTTTCAGAGCTATAAGGCCTGGGTAAGACAATTATCTCTGGACTCTGGGTTTCCTCATGTACAAAATGGGGATAAATAGTAAATCTCATACAGCTCACAAAATTATGTGTGCCTAAAAATATATGGAAAAGTACTTATTCTGTGCTTGATACACAACATACTCTCAATATACGTGCATTGGGTTATAATCTATACCTTTGTGGAATTTTCTGCAACATTTCCCCCATACCCACGCCAATTTAAAAAAACAAATATAAAGGTAACATTTTAAAAATTGGTGTATTCAAAATTAATAATAAACTTTAGGGTGAATAAGATTTAAAACAAAATACATAAGCAAAAATAAATAATTTACACCAAGTCACTAACCTAATTTTCAGAATAAAGCCATTTCCAATGACAGCAATGTTATCCCAGGCACCAGCCTGTGGTGAAACTTTGATAGTTCATTGTTTTTAAAAACAGTGACAAAAAACTGAACACTGAGTAAAATTTTTTGAAAAACCAAAACACTGGATTTAACTTTTTAATTTTAAATAACCAAACTTTGTAATTTTATCCATAATCCAATGTATAGCATTTCATCTTGAAGAACTGATATTTAATAGGGATGGGAAACTATAAATCGTCTTCAAACCATGAGATACAGATAAAAATGGACAAGTATATAACAGAACAAAAACTGCAGACATTCTACTAACTGGGGGAAATTTCTGAAGGCTTTCAATCCTTTATTATCCATGATGGCTTTTGGAATTATGATTGTTTGACATAAAGAACCTTTAACATTTTAGATACTGCCTTTATTTTTTTTTCACAGTAAGTTAAAAAACCATCATAAGACTCCATAAGACTTTACTGGTCTTGCATGTAGATTCTAGGAGTTTGCAATCTGATAAAAAAGTAACATGAACATTTATTGTATTGCCCTAATTTCATACTTCCTTGTACACAATGAATCAGTTTGGGAATCTATTCCAAGGGTTATATACACAAATGTGTCAAGAATAAAATGCTCTCCACTCTTGCATAAAAATGTGTACAGTGTATCAGGAATGGAAAACTTCTAATTTTCCTGGGTCCAGGCTTTGTGGATTTCTGCTGCCTGCTGGAAGATGAGAGGCTCCTCCTGCTTTATTGCTCCATTGTTCTGAGGATTAATCATCCAGCCCTGGCGTCTCTCCTTGTTGGATCCTAGATGCTATTCTGATGGCTTCTTCTAGAGATGGCTGTTCTCCAAGCTGAAACAGGAACACACACATCAATTTTAAAAGCCATACTACACTACAGTTCAAAAAAAACACTGCCATTCAAAAGCCATAGTAGTTAAGGTAATGCCAAAGAAATGTTATATGCCAGTAGTAAAATTTCTCTCTGTAATTCTGATACTTGGGCTTGTTAACATACTACTGCTGACCCAATCACTGGAGCACAAAAATTCCTACAGGGGAAAATAATGCAGTCTCTATTTAGATAAGCCCTTTAAACACACATGGGATAAAAGATGCTCACCTTGGCCAACGGAGACGAGAGCTTCCGGAGTCCTTAGCTTCTATACCCATAAACTATATAAAACCAATGGCTGGCATTTTCTTGAGTGTGTTCTAAACCTTTAAGTAAATACATAGAAAAACAACTCTCCCTAAGGAGAGGTAATCTGCATCTAGCATCTAGGATTCCAGATTCTTTGCTTGAATCCAGTGACTCTTTTCAGAGAACAGCTCTAAGTCTTCTGACATTGTCCACTTTAAAATGCAGGGATTCTCAAAGGACTAATTTAGGGTTTGTGTTTACACTAGGTTCATCTCCAAAAACTAGCTCTTAACTGCTTTATAGAATCCTGCCTAATTAGACTTTTGAGAATAAAGATGGGTGGCTGGGTGCACACAGGGACACATACCTGAAGATTTTTTTTCTTGCTATAAATTCCCCTAGAATACGCAAAGATAGTAGAGAACAAAGTGCTGGTCTCTTTGAGTCCACTTCAAACACAGCAATTTCCTTAAAGTAGGCTAGGTAACACAGATTATTGTGTGCCCTGACTCCTTTGGGTAAAGGTTATACCCAAAGCACAGTGTACAAGGTTGAGAGCTATGAGTAGCACTGCTGTTGACTGAGGACAGCCTGCCCTTGTACTCACCTGAACTGCAATCTGGGTGCCATTGGATGTTGCCACTAAGGTTAGAGGTCTGGTTTCTGTGGTTACTAAGTGATGGCTGTGCTGCTGGTGCCCCATTTCTGATGAGGCAGTATGGAACGCTGCCAAGTCTTGAGCCACAATTGCAACCTTAAGCAAAACAAAACAAAACAAAACACACACACCCAAAGAATTAAATACATGATTTAAATAGGTTAAAGTCCTTTAATGTAAAGGATTGTCTTCAAATTCAAAAGGAAAAACTCCTTTCTGACCACACACTTGTAGAAGACTAATTCTGGAAGAGACCTTATATATTGTCTATTCTGGATACTTTTTTATTTGAGGAAGTTGAGGTAGAGAGAAGGGACTTATTTCAGGTTATAAAGTGAGCCAACAGCAAAACAGGGTAGAGGACAGTGGAGAAGTGGATCTGCTACACCAGCCTCCACTTAGCCAGGGGTATGTGGTTGTATTTAGGTTCTATTACCTCTAAGTGGCTGCTTGGGAAGTTACACAGGTGGTTTAATTTGCATCTTAAATGTCTATTTATTCCTGAGTTTGGATCAGTGGTATAAAATACACTATTTTCTCCTATCTACCTGTTGATTTAAAATTAGATTTCCATTTCACGAAGAAAACTGAAAGGACCAGTGGCATTACTGACAAACAGCAATATTGCTTCTTATACTTGTTTGCCATTTTAGACTCCCTAGAAATTTTCCATATTCCTCCTGAAACATCTGCCAGAGAGGTTAAAAGTGCTTTTGTGGCTCTTACATCACAAATGTAGATTTCAACAATGTAGGTAATGGGCTGGCTGCCAAACCCTTCCCCACCACCACCTGCCCCAATGTAGGTAGTGTAGAAAATGGCAACAACTACTGTTATACAATATTCTAAAATTTTATCAAGCCAAATAGGAGGAAGAATAGATTAAAAACTAAAATTGCTATTTTATTTGGCCATTAATCCACTACAATGCTGGATTTTTAAGCTAATAGATATTTAGCTTGGATCAATCCCAGTAATGTTCCATAATCTAGTAAGAAAAACAGATTTCAGTCCAGCAATGGCAGTATAGCTTATATTAGACCTACTCTCCTGCAGTAACAATTATAAACTCTTGATATAAATATGAAAAAGCAACTACTTGAAGGCATTGGAGAGCAATGAAAAGCAGGCAGAAATTGGACAGGATTCTCAAAAGAAGGAAGCCACACTGGGTTACATCTCTGTTTAAATAGATTTTCCACTGAGGGTGGTACCCAGTCTGAGCAGCAGGGGCAACTTAAGGTGTCAGATAACAGAGCGTTGGGTGCCAGAACGGCTGTATGTTGAAAGGGATATCCTAGAATGGAGAGAACTAGAACTGTGTATAAATTCTCTTCAAATCCTTAAGGCCCCTCAACTGCAGATGTGTGGTTTCCAATAAGGTTCTGATAAATACAGCAGAAAGCAGCAGCTGTTAGGCTGAAAAGCTGAGGAGATTCTCAGTAACACCACAGGAGAGACAGACTTTAGAGTTTCAATCCTACTAAGAGGAGGTTGGTAAACACCTCAGGCTTTATACTGAAACCCTACAGCCCATGCTTTAGGAGTAAAAATTATGTCACAGGATTAAGACCTAATGGCAAAAGTAAAACAGACCTAAGGGTAAAAGTGAAACAGACTTGCTTTAACAAAGTATAAAACCCAGTTTCCACAAATAATTTAATTGCCTGATAGAAAAAAAAAATCATTCTTCAAAGATAACAAAATTCAGAATCTCTATAATGTATTACCTACAAGGTCCAGAATATAACAGAAAAATTTTAGAAGACATGAGAAGGGGAAAATGTAACCCTGAGTCAAAAGAAAATGAAGTCAGGGGCCGGCCCGGTGGCGCACTGGATAGTGCGCCGCTTGGGAAGCGCGGCAGCGCTCCCGCCCGAGGGTTCGGATCCCACATACAGACTGGTTCCCGCTCACTGGCTGAGCGAGGCACGGGAGCAACACCGAGGGTTGCGATCCCGTTGCCGGTCCTGGTCCGGTACGGGGGCGACACTGAGGGTTGCGATCCGTTGCCGGACACAGAAAAAGACAAAAAAAAAAAAAAAAAAGAAAATGAAGTCAATAGAGACAGACCTTGAGAAGACCAAAATGTTGGAATTATCAGACAATGGCTTTAAAGCAGCTATTATAAATACGTTCAAGGGCTTAAAAGAAAAGATGGTCATAATGAATGAACACAAAGGGAATTTCAGTAGACAAGTGAAACTATAAGAAAAGGAAATTCTATAACCCAAACCAACAATATCTAAAATTTAAAATTATCTGAATGGACATAACAGAAGACAATGATGGCAAAAGAAAGGGTCAATTAACCCAAAGACAGATCAGCAGAAGTTACCCATCTGCAGAACCAGGAGGAAAAAATTTAAAAACCTTAACAGATTCCCAGCAACTTGTGGGACAAGACCAAGTTAATACAGATGCTCCTCAACTTACAATGGGGTTATATCCTGACAATCCCATTATAAGTTGAAAATATCATAAAATAAAAATACATTTAATACACCTAACCTACACAACATCATAGCTTAGCCTACTAGCCTTCTTTAAATGTGCTCAGAACACTTACATTAGCCTACATTTGGGCAAAACCATCTAACACAAATCTGTTTTATAATAAATTATAAATAATTTTGGATCAAAATTCAAAATTTGAAGTACAGTTTCTACTGAGCACGTAATTGCTTTTGCACCATTGTAAAGTTGAAAAATCCTAAGCTGAACAATTATAACTTGAGGGCCATCTGTATGATTTTATATATATATAATTATTTTATATATATATAACTTTATATACATATAGTTATATAGTATTTATATATATATATATATAATTAGAATTAGAATCCCAGAAGGAGAGGAGACAAAAATGTTTTTGATGAAATAACGGTTAAACTTTCGCCAAATCTGGTTAAAAAAACAAACCAAGGCAAAAGAATACTAACATGCATAAGAAGGCTAGTAGATAAATACAAAGAAAACCTCATCATAATCAAATTACTAAAAAGCAAATATAGGGAGAAAATCTAGAAAACAGTCAGAGGAAAAATTATGCATTATATACATGGGAACAATGATATGAAGGTGGCTGATTTCTCATCAGAAACAATGAAGTAGAGACAATTTAAAGTGCTGAAAGAAAAAAGCAAAAAAATCCTTCAAAAAAAAATATGCTTCCAAACTAAAAGTGAAATAATATTTTGAGATAAATAAAAACAGACAATTTGTCATCTGTAGATATGACAAATAATGTGAAAGCATATCCTTCAGGCCAAAGGAAAATGATTTCAGATGGAAACTCAAATCTACAGAAAGGAATAAAAAGCACTAGAAATGACAGATTAGGGGATACATATAAAATAATGTTGTCCATCTTTCTGTAATTTACTTAAAAGACTGTTTAATGCAAAAATATAATATTGTACTGTGGAGTTATAACATATGTAAACTATATCAACAGCACAAAGAATGGAGCAAAAAGTGAAAATATACTGTTTCAAGGTTCTTAGATTTTATGTAAAGTAGTACAATATTAAGTATAAGCTGACTGTGCTAACTTAAGAATGCATATTGTAATCTCTAGAGAAACCACAAAAAAGTAACACAGAAAGATATAGTAAAAAGTTATTACAGGAATTAAAATGAAATATGTGTGCAACTAATAACTAAGCTTTAAATTAACTGAAGCAAAAAAATCCCTAACAGAACGAAAAGGGAGAAATGATACAAATCTACAATCATACTTACAAATTTCAATACCTCTTTCTCAGTAACTGATAGAACAAAGATACAAAAAATTAATAAGGCTATAGAATATTTGAAAACACTATCAATCACTTAGGCCTAATTTATATTTATAGTACACTATACCTAACAAGTACAGAATACACATTCTTTCCAAAATACACATGGAACAGAATGGGAAATTGATGAGATATACATGGAAAATAAGTCTCAGTAAATTTCAAAATAATGAAATCTTACGTAACATGTCCTCTGACTAAAACAATTAAATAAACAATCAATAATAATGAGATATCTAAAAAAGTGCCAAATATTCAGAAATTAAACAACATAAATCTAAATAATCCATGGGTCAAAGAAGAAATGACCAGAAATATGAGAAAATACTTCAAATTAAAAGGAAATAAAAACACGATTTATCAAAATTTGTGAACTGAAGCTAAAACAATTCTTCGAGGGAAATTTGTAGCTTTAGATGCTTCTAAAAGAAAAGAAGGTTTAAAATCAATGATTTTATTTTCTACCTTGAGAGAAAAAGAGAAAATTAAACCAAAGTAAATAGAAGAAAGGAAATGACGAAGGTATGAACAGAAATCAATAAAATGTAAAAAGAAAAAATGAGATAAAATAAAGGTAAAAATTTGTCCTATGAAAGGCTAATAAGATTAATAAAGTTCTAGAAAGATGGTCAAAAAAAAGAAAATGCAAATTATCAGTGTCAAATATGGAAGAGTGACATCATCACTTCAGATCCTACAGACATTGAAGGGATAATAAGGAAATATTATGAACAACTTTATGCCAATAAATACAACTTAAATGAAACAAATGCCTTCAAAAACAAAACATGGGCCGGCCCGGTGGCGCACTGGAGAGTGCCGCTTGGGAGCACGGTGGCGCTCCCGCTGAGGGTTTGGATCCCATGTGGAGACCGGTTCCCGCTCACTGGCTGAGCGCGGTGCGGGCGCGACACCGAGGGTTGCGATCCCGTTACCGGTCAGTAAAAAAGACAAAAAGGAAAAAAAAAACCATAAAATTGGGTACAAAAAGAAATAGATAACTTGAATAGTACTGTATCTATTTAAAAACTTTAGTGGAATTGCTGGGTCATAGGGCGTAATAACTTCGTATAGCATACATTATACGAAGTTATACGACTGAGCGCGGTGCGGGCGCGACACCGAGGGTTGCGATCCCGTTACCGGTCAGTAAAAAAGACAAAAAGGAAAAAAAAAACCATAAAATTGGGTACAAAAAGAAATAGATAACTTGAATAGTACTGTATCTATTTAAAAACTTGAATTCATAGTCAAAAACCTCTCCCAAAAGAAAACTCCAGGCCCCGATGGTAT